ACTCTCCCTCCGACTTCCCGCTGGGAGCAGGTTAGGATGGTTCATTCCACCTCTCACAGGGCCCGCTGGCGCTAGAAGGAATACAGGGACCTGGTCCTCCTGGCAGCCCACCCGAGCCAGGCCCCGACCAGGGAGGTAAGACAAGAACCACAGCTCACCTGACGTTGGCTTTGTCCACTCCCATCCCGAAGCTGATGGTGGCAACGATGACGGGGACCTTCTCCTCCATCCATTCGTTCTGCACCTGCGTCCTGTCAGAGGCCTTCAGCCCTACAAAGCGGGGAAGGGGGAGAAGGGAGCTCGCATTTCCCTTGGGGTTCTCTTGGGGTCTGTCTTGGGTTTGACACTATGTACACCCTGAATTCATTACTTTCCTGCACTTAGCCTCTCTGAGCCTGAGCTAATACACATAAAGGCCCTGGCTGTGTTCTCAGTGAAGGTTAGAGCCGAGATTCAAACCCAGGTCCTCTGGCCTCCAGAGCCAGTGTTCTTTCCACACCGCCAGCAGCTGGGCCGTACCCACTGCTCCCCGGCTGCTGGGCTCAGGATGAGAGCGAGCATTCAGAGTCCCAGTCTCATTTTAGACCCCGTTCTTGGCCAGACGCCCTCTTGTGGACTTAAGGGAACCTCTTTAGCTCTGCCCGGGAAGCGAGGACTGACGTCAGATCATCTGATTTCTCAGGGGCCACGGGAACAAGAAACGCGCCAAGAGGCCTGAGAGTGGAGGGGACCACGTGACCCGGGCGGCCCTCACCTGCGTGGTAGGCCTTGGCACTCAGCCCCCTGGAACTGAGCTCTATCGCCAGCTGTTCACAAGCCTCTCTGGTCCTGCAGTAGACGATGCCGCAGCCGGACAGTACCTGAAGGCGGAGACAGGGCACGGGAGGGAAATCAGCGCTGGGAAAGCGAGCCATCAGCCCATCGTCCTGCGGCCTCCGTAGCAGGAGCTCTGCACGGTCTCCCGTCAGCCCCAGTCTCCCTGAGGCAGGCCGCCCAGCAGGGCTCTGCCCCTCACAGAGCAGGACCGAAGTGGCTCAGCCCTCCCGGGGCCTGGCCAACCAATCTCTTCTGCTCCTCCCTCAAACCCTGACCAGGTCTGCAGAGGCCACAGCCAGAGGATTTCCGCCCAGTGAGGGGACAACGCCAGGAAACCAGAGGGACGAGTCTGTGCTTTAAGCAGCTACAGCTCGTCTGGGCTAAGGAAGCCAGGAAAAGCCAAGGTCTTAGACAAGCAATCCCAGCTCTGTGCTCCCAGCTCTGTGCTCCCCAGCTCTGTGCTCCCAGCTCTATGCTCCCAGCCCTGTGCTCCCTCGCTCTGTGCTCCCCTGCTCTGTGCTCCCAGCTCTGTGCTCCCAGCTCAGTGCCCTCACCCCTTTCCCAGCCTTCTGGCCGAGCGCCTTCAGGCAGAAGTCCCGCAGGCTCCCGTAGGGATCGGAAAGCAGCTCCTTGAACTGCACGTCGTAGAAGAGATTGGCCCGGAAGCAGGGGGTCTTGAAGGCAGCAACCGGCTGCTTGAGGTGCAGAGCCGCAAACACATCCTCCCGGACCTGCGGGGTGGCCGTGGCGGTCAGTGCCACACACGGGGCATGTGCCAGGCGGGAGCGCAGGGCACCCAGGCGCAAATAGTCGGGGCGGAAGTCGTGTCCCCACTGGGAAACACAATGAGCTTCATCCACCACCAGGTAGGAGAGCAGGTGGCGGGACACCAGCGAGTTCAGGGTGGGCTGGAAGGAGGCGGAGGCCGCCATCTCCGGCGTGATGTACAGGAGCTTGGTCCGGGGCTTCTCCTGCTCCAGGTCGGACAGCAGCTCCTGCTTCTCCTGCGCGGAGAGCTTGGAGTTCAGGGACCTCACTCGCACCTTCAGGGCCAGCAGGTGGTCCACTTGGTCCTGAGGGCAGAAGGAGAAACGCACTGAGCGAAGTCAACGGGCCCTCAGCATCTCAGGGCTATTTCCCAGTCATACAGCGCCCTCCTCCCACCCTCCAACGCGTCTTTTCTCTGCCTGCAAGAAGGACTGAAGGGGACATGGCTCTCTGGAGCCAGACAGACCTGGATTATTTTTAAATATATTCTTATTGATTTCAGAGAAGGAAGACAGAGAGAAACATCAATGATGAGAGAGAATCATTGACTGCCTGCCTCCTGCACGCCCCCTAGGAGAAACTGAGTCCACAACCCGGGCTTGTGCCCTGACAGGGAATCAACCATTGACCTCCTGATTCATAGGTTGACTCTCAACCACTAAGCCACACCGGCCGGGCAGACAGACCTGGATTTAATCCTTGTTCACTTACCTGCCACATGCTTTAGGGCTGGTTCTTAAACTGAGCCTGTCCATTTCCTCACTCTCTCTCTCTCTCTCTCCCCTATAAAATAGTGACCCCTAATAGGATTGTCATGAGAATGAAATCTTCTGTCTCAAAGGTGTGATGAATGCACGTAAAGCCCCAGCAACCACCCACTAAGCACTCTTATCGTTCTTTCCTGTCTCTTTCTTCACAGTTGATAGCTCTTAACCACTAGTACACGGCTACACTTCCTCATTTCTGATTCTAGCCGAGAGCAGGTGTTAACATCCCAATCGGCCTCTCACCGTTTTTTCTATCATAGCTGCACCCTTGCCAGAACAAAGCAGGACACCAGAGATCGGCGCCCCCGCATCAATTAGCACTCTACCCATCTGCAAGCGTGTGCACCAGACAGTTCCATGTTCGTCTGGACAAAAAGTAACACATGAAGGTAAGAAACCACACAGTACTATGCACTAGTGGAGAAGCCCACATATGGGCAATTTAGAAACCCAGTAAAGAGGAGGATAAGCAAATCAAAGAATGTAAGCGGCAAAAGACCAAAGAAAGCAGAAGTGAAATTTCCAGCGATTTAAACAACCTTCCCCTAAACTTTCTGGGCCAGCACCTCACCTGAATCAGTGCAATGAGGGGAGAGATGACCACGGTGATGCCTTTGGCCAGCAGAGCAGGGAGCTGATAGCAGAGGGATTTTCCTGCCCCTGTGGGCATGCACACAAAAACATCCTTGTCTCCTGAAAAGATACGAGAAGACAGCATCTCAGTGCTTTCGGCCTTGTATCTTTCCTTCATCGAGGCTATTGGAAATTAAGTGAGAGTGTAGGAAAAGCCCTAGCAGGGATAGGGAGTGGGAAGGGGGGCGGGGCGGGAGGGTGTCTCAATATATTAATTCCCTTCCCATCCTTTCTATGAAAAGAGACACAGGGACATTTGGAAAAGCACACAAACCATTTCTGATCATGGCAATAACAACTACAATGGTAGGAAGTCTGAGTCTGCTGGGATATAGAAGATTGAACTAAGTAGCCATGAAAGCTGATGCTTCTGCATGAGTGTGCGTATCTGTGTAGACATGGAAGCAACATCACTCAGATGTCTTGTTTATAAACATCACAGTGCAGTTAACAGTACACAGCTGCTCCCCTCTTGACAACCTCCGTTTGTCCACAAATCTCCAAGTTGATAATAATTATGAATCCTTCCCTAGTTGGGACCCAGGCCACTCAATCTTTAACAAAGGGATGACCTAGGTCAGCAACTGGCTGAGGCCTTTGCGGCCACTCCCACACAAACCAATAGGCATCGGTGACCTGTTTTCAAAGACAGACTGTAGCTCTGCCTGTGCAATGTAAGAAACAGAACAGTTGGGTGGTTCTGCCCACAAAACTGCAAGTTTGGGATCGATCAGATTTCCAAAACCAATTATGGACCAAGGGTGGGAGGTAGGAGGGGTCAGGAGGAGGGTGCTGGACGGGAGTGCTATGGTATAGCCGGGGTACATGTAAGCACAGGAAGCGTGGCCTCGTTACCTTTCACTACAGCCATGGTGGCACTCTCCTGTAACGGTGTCTTAAAAGAGTCAAACCCGAAGACCTTCTTCAATGTGCTCCGGACTCGATGCTCAGGGTCAAAGGGAGAGGAACGGTGGTGGGTGGTCATCTTAGCGACAGACAGTAGCCAAAGGTTAAGGCGAAGGTGTGACCACAGGGTTATGACAGAAACCCTGTTCTGCTTTTAAAATACTGCGTATTTTTTTTCTCTTTAGTATAAATTTGCTTGATTACACTACTCAAGCAATATATAATTTTCAAGTAATACACCAATAGGTTCCTGGGTAATTAACATCTCCACTTTCACAGCAGTGAAAATAAAAACACTGAACTATATCCCGGGCCACCGTATGCACAGAGAAGCTAGAAATCAGACGAGCAGAAACACAAACGTCTTCTGAATCGTTTGGAGAAGGTGGAATTGTTTGTCTAAGATCCACCTTCTGCAGAAACCGGTTTGGCTCAGTGGATAGAGCACTGGCCTGCAGACTGAAAAGTCCCGGGTTCGATTCAGGTCAAGGGCATGTACCTTGGTTGCGGACACATCCCCACGTAGGGGGTGTGCAGGAGGCAGCTGATCAATGTTTCTCTCTCATCGATCTATCCCTCTCCCTTCCCCTCTGTAAAAAACAAAACAATAAAATACATTTTTTTAAAATAAGATCCACCCTCTGCTCCTTCTATAAGCATAGCCATGAGGCCATTCTTTCCCCCCAGGACCGGATCCCTTCTTCCCAACTCCCAAAGTGAGAGCTCCTCCCCTTTCCGTCACTGAGCCCCCACTCCGCTTCACCCCAGGATATCAGAGCTGGCCGCGGGCCGCCAAGGAGCGGGGGGCTCTCGTTCGGGGGGCGGCCGCCGCCTGCAGGCTCGGGAACTACTCCAAGACCCCCATCGCCACCGCCAACTCTGAGAAGCCAACCAGCTGGACACCACAATCGGGTGTTTCCGTCGTGCGGTAATGACGTAGCGCGAGCGCTGGGTGAGGGGCGGGGCCCAGCGCAGAAACAGCCGTCCTGATTGGCTCCCGGCTTGGAACGCGCGCGGGGCCTTCTGGGATCCGGAAGAGGCCGCCTTTCGGCGCGGAAGTCGGCTCGCCGGAGTCGGCGCCGTGGGCCGTCCCGCGGCGCTGGGAGTAAGATGGCGGGGAAGAAGAGCGTCCTGTCTTCTCTGGCGGTTTACGCGGAAGACTCAGAGCCCGAGTCGGACAGCGAGGCCGGAGTGGAGACGGCGGGCAGCGCGGCTGGTGAGGCCCGAGGCGGGGAGGCGGGCGGGGGGAGGGGAGAAGCGGGCGTTCGCTCGGAACGCGGCCCTCCTTGCCCGGCGGGAGGGAAAGCCCTGGGCATTGTGCGCCAATATGGGGCCCCCGAACCCCCCACAGCGCGATCCGAACACTCTGCGGGTAAGAATGGGCCCTCTCCTTCCGCTGGTTCCATTATTCTGCTGAGACTCATTGAAAATCTCCGTGCCGGGCGGGCATCCCGCTAGGCAGAGGGATGGACAAAGGGTGCAGAGGGTCCAAGGCTGCGGAAACGCTACCCATTCTCTCCGAGCGTGTTTGGTGGAGAGAGAGGGATGAGTAACACGTAGGTGGAGGGTTTTTTGGTGTTTTTTTTTTTTTTTACTTGAATAACTGATAACTAGCAATATGCCTTAGACGCATCTCGGAGCTTCTAAAACATATATCTGGTCTTCGCTGTGAGATTCTGTCGATCTGGGCTACAGAGAGGGGGATAAGCAAGGCCCCTCACCGATTCCATTGTTTTGTGAGTTGTTAAGTGCCCTCCGTGATTGTTGCCCTGCTCAGGTTGAGAATCACCATGCTAGGAAGTGGGCACAGATTTACTTGGGAGCAAAGAGAGGCAGTGAGTTCCCTGATCCGCTGGGCCTTGGTTTCCTCACCTGGAGAGAGAGGGGGTTGGACTAGGTCAGCTCCTCTGTTTTGTGTGTTCTTGGCCAGTCAGAAGGTTCTCGGTGGTTTCCCAGTCATTTGTATTGTTTATTTGGGGGAGACGGGGTGTTTGTTTGTTTTGTCTTGAATGTAGAAAAAGATCGTTTCTCAGGTAGGATTGGGAACCCCTTGGAGTACCCCCTGTTCAAGGGGAGGACACACAAAAATGAGGACGACAGTCCTTGTCTTGTATGAGAAGATGAGTCCTCTGGTGCCTGTGACCCGAGGCAGACATCACTAGCGGCTCTCACACAACAGAGTCTGGGGCCTGAGGCCATTTAACATGAGACTTCGGTTCCTTTTTTACCTTAAGATATAATTCTAGTCAGTCACATCACCGAAAGGTTTCTTGCATTCCCCGCCTCCCCCCCCCCCCAATCTGTTCATTTTTATTTTTTCCCTTTGTTTAAGAGGAGAAAGGCGGATTGGTATCGGATGCGTATGGAGAGGACGATTTTTCTCGCCTCGGGAATGATGAAGATGGCTATGAGGAAGAGGAGGAGGAGAACAGCAAACAATCGGTAAGTAGCTCTGTTCCCATATCCAGAGCCGCTCGTGGCACCATTCTGCTTGTTAGAAACTTTCCAGACTGTTCCAGCAGCGTGCCATTTCACATCCCCTCTCCTCCCACTCTGTTTGGCGTCAATTAAGGAAACTGGGTTGGATATTGGCCGTTCTGTTTGAAAATCAAGTTTGTTTTCACCTGGACCACTTTGCATTTATCTTTGAACTTAAAATCTGGGGGAAAGATAGTGAGTTATTTTATTTGACCCAGATATCAGCGGGTGTTTTATGTTCGTTTTCCCCGTTTAGATAGTTTTTTTCCATTTGCAACAGTATAATCATTCTAATTGGTGCAATCCGCTCTGTATTATTTTTAATCTTGGTTGGGGCTCATTCAAATCTGTCCATGTATTCAAAAGATTAGGAAGGGAAGTTATTATTATTGTGTGTGTCTGACTTATTCCTTAACTTCCTTCTTGACATTTTACTTGGCACTTTTTATCACAGTGCCCGGCTCCTGATCACCAATCTTGCTGAAATTTAGTATGTGTGGCTAACAAAAAAGAACTTGTGTCTTAACCAGAAAGACTTTAGATACACTATTGCATAAGCAACACAAGCCAGAATTTAAAAGTTTGGGGGGAAACAAAGATTCCGCTGGTGCTTGGCACAAAAACATACCAAGTTGAATGTGGATATTTGACAACAGCTTTAATTGAAACATTCATTGTACTTTTATCGTGTGTTTGAAGACTTTGCTACCCATTGAGATTTAAATGTTACCGTTAAAAATGCTTTCCAAGTTAAACAAAACTGTACTTTGTATTTGATGTTCTTTTGGGAGGTATTTTCATGCCCTTAGCCCCACCATCAATGCTAATAACTCAGAATGGTCTGAAACTGGTTAGAAAAGCTTTGCAAGTTATGTTCTTTCCCTGACTTTTCTTCTGTGCAAACGTTCTGGCTGTTTTCTTCCGTAAATCTGCATAGTGTGTTTTGAAGTGTAATTCCACATTTGTTTTGCTTAGGATATTCATCATATTTAAGCTTTATTTTATATTTCAGTAAAATCCTCTCGTCAAATTCCAATATAGACCTTCTAAAATGTGATTGTATTTGGCTGAGCCACATCTCTGATATTTGGCCTGATTGGACTCATTTTAAGGAGATTGCATTTAAAACCTTTGGCTCATTTAAAATGCCTTCCAGGACAGTGACATCTCAAACCCATCAGTACAGTTTATCCCCACCTCTCCGGTGATGTGTATGTTAACATCTGGACTGCTGTTTAATGTGGGGGTTAAAATGTAGCTCGATTGGAAAAAAAAAAGTTTCAAATGACACAAGTTTTTCCTCGTGGTAAGTTAAAGGGCCACGCACTGGGGGGTTCTGGGTAGTGGCACTACCTGTGGTCTCTGTTCGCATTCAGGGGAATGGTGGGCCTGCTCTTGGAGGCCCCGCGTGCTTTGGAGGACGGTGCTTTGTGTGGAGCAGGCCGTTTGGGTAAGGAGCAAGGCTGGAGAGAACTTGGCCGGAAGCAGGGCACACTCACTGGACCCAGAAAAGGCTGGGCCCTGCTCTGTAGTCATGCCTCTCCCGAGTCACTTGACGCCTGCCTTCCTAGTGTTCACGTTGGTGCAAACAAATGCTACTGGGTTGGACTGCCGGGCACAGGTGCGTGGGGGTCACTCTGGCGGTGAACGGTGTCATGGTCTGGGTCAGGTTATTTGTGAATATGAAAAGCAAAGAGGGAAACAGCTTGTGTTTCTGGTTTTAAGTGATGGCTGTTTCATTGGGAACAGTATGACTTTATCCTGTGGGGCCTGGCCTTGCCTCCACTTTTCTGTTGGCGATTTTTCATCTCAGGCATTCTCATTCGTGTAGGCGATGGTCCTGCTGGAGTATCTGCTTTGAGCCCCTGGTCTTTCTCCCCCCTCCCCCTCCCAGAACATCTCCTTCCGTTCTGGGTCATATGGGGGGAAGGGTCTTGGTGGGATGACCCAGGCTGAGTAACTTTGCTCCAACCCCTAGTTGTGCATACGGGAACCCGCAGGCCCGCTCCTGTAAGCTTAATCCTCTAAATTCTTTGTCTTGTAGGAAGATGACGATTCAGAGACTGAAAAACCTGAGGCTGATGACCCAAAGGTACTTGGTGTTGGCTGTGGTGGGTGGCTGGATGCGAATGAGGCATTTTAACATGTGGCTCAGTTCATGTGTCTGGTCAAGGTCCGTCCCGCTGACACACTGCAACCACGTGTCAATGTTCTGGGATGACAACGGTTGCATGCGGAAGCCTGGAGGCACTCTGAAGGAGTACGTCCTGGAGCGGCCTGGACCCTGGCCTTGTAGGGGGTGCGGTCTCCAGCCTAGAGCGCAGCAGCCTCCCTGTGCTCTGCGGCCAGGGGTGCTTTGTGGGTCACTGCTCCCGCAGGGCGTTAGATGAGGGATGTTTCCTCTGACTTCCCAGTGAGCCAGAGCAGCCCGTCTGGCCTCCTGTTTCCCTGTCTCCGGCTTGAATAAATGCGCTCTCAATACTAAAAGCAAAAAAACAAAAAGCCCAGCGGGAGGCCTGTAAGGTGATCTAGTGGAATTTAGGAAAGTTATACCCAGTTAGGATCTAAAGTAGCATATTTGAAAATACAGCATCAGATCCAAATTGGAACTGATTCTGTGATTGGATAGGACTGTGCGCAGGCACAGAAGTCCGCCCATGAAAGGCTGCGGAGAAGAAAGCACTTCACCAAGAAGTGTTGGCATCAGCAGGAGAAAAAAGGCATCCTAGGTACGCAGACGCAGGCTGCTTTCTGAGCTGGGAGGGGCCCGGGCCTGCTCGTCAAGCAGTACTGGCAGGAGGGCAGGCCGTGGCCTAGAAGGAAGGTACAGCTCCCTTGGGCTGGCAGAATGAAAGTGGTCAGCAGCATTCATACTTGGCTTTCTGTCTTAGTTTTCGGGGTGTGTGGGTCTTTGGGCTCCCCAATAGGGACAGGAATTGTTACTCTATGCGTGGTCTCTGACAGGAGTCTTTCTGTGCCCGATTTCCTTACAGGGCCCTGCCTTCCTCTCCAGCCTGCCATCAGCTCTTTTCCACTCAAACCCCTCTCAACCCTCCCTCTGTTCTGTCACATTTAAGCTTTACTTCAATTGATATTTAACAGTGTTTTCGTATGTTAAACCTTTATTTTCAAACTAGCGGCCTGGTGCACAAAATTCGTGCAAGGGGCTCCGCCCGCGCAGCCATGATCGGCCTGCAGTCAGCTTCATCTGGAAGCTCATCCAGCTGTCCAGTCTAATTAGCATGTTACACTTTTATTATTGTAGATGTTTCTGCCTTAAGTATGTGACGTTTCTAACAACAGGATGTCCTTTATTTTGCTAACAAATGGATTGATGTCTCATTTGTCTTTTCCACTAGATGGCACTCCTTCCTACTTTGGCTTTTAAAGATCTGCTTTTGATTTTTTGCTGTGGCAGCTCTCTCAGAACATTCTGGCTCCTTTACACATTGAAAGTTAGGATCCCATAGAGCTTTTCTTCATTTTGGCTTTGTCTGTGACAATCTCTGAGCAGTTAAAACCGAGGAAAATGTTAAGTATTTATTTTAAGATAACAAGCCTATTACCTATTAACATAAATAACATTCTTATGAAAAATTACTATTTCCGAAATTTAAAAAAAAGTTAGTACAAAGAGAGGAACCGTTTTACCATGTTACAAGTTTCCTTGGTGTCTAAAGTCTAGCTGAGTGACAGCGAAGCTCTCCTAACTGCTGCACTCAGTCTGGGTTTGGGTTGAAGTTTCTGACGGAGCCGTCTTCACACAGCCCGGCCGTTGGAAAGAGAAGTATTTTAATAGATACTCGGGGACTCGTGGGTTTTCTCCTCTGATACTTGATCAAAGCTCAGCAAGTGGGAATTTTCTAAAGTTAACTGATTGCCGTGAGGAACGGGAAGCCCTATACTTGGCTGCATTGAAGCATGATCTCTCTCGCACTTGGCTCAGCCCTTTTCGCCAGGCACCGACCCACATCACCAGGCGCTAGCGATTTGGAAAGGGGTTCTCTGCGTTACGCACATCTCCTCGGTGCTGACACATTTGCTTCCATAGTAGCCCCAAATCGTATGTGACAGTGACATTACTGACCTCAGACAGGCCAGTGAGCGTCAGGGAGCTGCTTGCTCACAGCGGGGAGCACACATCTCCCCAGCTTCCAGCTTTGCCGGAGAGCTGGGATGTTACACTCTCAGCTTTCCTCCAAGTGACAGGCTCTGTGTTTTAGGAAATGGCGGCCGAACTCCCGCATCGAAGTGACCATAGTCTGTCAGTCGTTCTTTCAGGTAAATGGTGTTCTGGGAAGGAAGCCGCTAGGTCAGCTCGGAACCCACATAACTGCATGGGTGCTCTCCTCGATGGCCAAGTTCATGCTCACCTCTCGTCACCATACAAAATGCTAACAAAACAAAACAACAACACTGCACCAAGCGTCAAGGACATGCGGAAGTGAAATGGGCTTTTTAAAAACAAAAAAAACAAAAAAAAACCTGAGAGTATGGCTCCTGCTAGAATTCGGTGCTGCTGCCTTGATTTGTTCTAAGGGCCAACAAGTTGACCCACCATTGCTCCTGTAAATGTCAACACGTGACACAGGTAAATGTCTTCGTTATGAAAATCATTTCGACCTTGCTGACCTCCAGGGGTCCACAGATCAGCTTTGAGAATCACTGTTCTTCAGAAGCAAAGCTCTCGGGTGGGTAACATTACATAACGGTGGTGAATGCATTCATTGCTCTGCATGTGTCCCTGGAACTGCTATTGGAACTGCCATTGTCCTTACGGGGCCCTGCGCTGCCTGGGGCAGCAGAGCGCCCAGAGGAAGAGGAGAAGGGTGGGGGGAGAAGCCAAAGCCCTGGGTTAGAGACCTGGTTTGAACTCCAGCTGTCCTTGGGGAAGTCCCCTCACCTCAGTGTTCCTCATCTGCAAAATGGGCATCCTGATAAATGGGCCTCGTTTGTCTTAAAGGCTGAACTGAGTAAAATGTAAACGAGCACTTAGCTCCGTAGCATCCGGCATGTCTGCGCTCAGCAGCGTTGGGTACAACGACCAGTGCTCCTCTGCTCCCTCCCCAGGTGGTCACTCGTGTCGTTGAGGCGTTTTTTGGAATATTGAATTCCGCATTTAAACTGGAGCACACTCAGAGGAGAGAAAGCTTCAAGGTGAGGGGACGTAACCACATCATGTGCGGACGAGTGAAGGAGCGGGAGGGGGGAGACGGGGAGAGCTGGTCGCTCTGTCTGCTGTTCGGTGCCGGGTAAGGGAAGGGAGGTGGCCATGGAGCGGAGCGTAGAACGTTCCGTTACCTCTGGCCAAAAGTGGGCGAGCTGCTGCTGGAGGGAGTGAGCTCCCTGCTCCTGGGCCTCTCTCTGACGAGGTGGAAGACACCTTTGTCCACCGTGTCCTAAGAAACGTGGGGCTGGGGCTGGGGCTGGACGGAACCCCCAGAGGGCTTCCTGGGGAAAGACCTGGGCATTATGAGTGTTCCCTGACCTCATTCTTCCCACCCCGATGTTTGGGGTTACCAATGAGTGCAAAGTCCCACGTTTGTGTAAGAAATGACGACCCCAGACCTCCTCTGGGGAGCCTCTGGTCCTGGCCCACCAGCCTGGGGGTCAGGGATGCTGGGTGGCGCTGGGTTCCTGAGTTGGCCCTGAACTAGAGGAAAGGGGGCTGGTGAAGGTGGCCGAGCGTTCCCCGGAAGCAGTATGCTAGGGCACCTCGGCCGTCATGTCTTCTCTCACTTCAGTTTTCTGGTCTTGCCTCTTCAGTAAGCAGCCCGGCTCCGATGTTCTGATTACTGAACAGAAGGTGGCGCTGCTGTCCCAGAAAAAGCCAGACAAGCCGAGGAAGCCTGGTCCAGCTCCTCGCCTCAGGGGCAGGGTGCCTGCTGGCTTAAGTGTTTCCTGCATCTGTTTGCCCTTGGCACACCAGCTTCCCGTTTCACACTCTCCTTTGTCCGGGCTTTACCTCGGTTGCCCTGGGACATTTTCCCTTGTTTATTTTTTCCCCTGCGCACAATTCCTGTGGATGAAGGTATTTCCACTCACTCCTGCCTTTGACACACCCTTCCTTTGGAAGCAAACACTGGCATCAAGGGCCCAGCTCAAGATAGCTGGAGGGCCTGGCCAGCTACCTGGGAGGCCGGCCTCGCTGTGTGGGGCGGGCTTGCAGCTCCCCGGGGTGCTGTGTTCAGGCTGCGACCCAGGGAAGGAATCGTGGCCCAAGGAGCTAACATCTGTCAAAACAAAACTGTCTCGGGTCAACGAGGTGGCACATGCTGTGAGAACAATGGTTCCAGCATTTTTTTAAAAGGCGTGTGTGATCCCAGTTAAAAGAAAACATTTAAAAAGCCCTTTGGGCCAGGACCGGTGTGGCTCAATGGATAGAGCGTCGGCTTGGGGACTGAAGGATCCCGGGTTCGATTCCGGTCAAGGGCATGTACCTTGGTTGCGGGCATATCCCCAGTAGGGGGTGTGCAAGAGGCAGCTGATCGATGACTCTCTCATCGATGTTTCTAACTCTGTCTCTCTCTCTCTCTCTCTCCCTTCCTCTCTGTACAAAACCAATAAAATACATTTTTTTAAAAAGTCCTTTGAGCCCAAAAGTCATGCAGAAATGTGGAGTTCAGCGTGGAGCCAGTCTGGTGAACGTGGCCGGAAGGCCTGGGTCAGGTGTGGCGGCCTCCCTGCAGCGTGGACCACAGGCCCACGGCGTAACCTGCGCTCGCTGCCTGTGGAGCCAGGCTCGGGCCCCTTTGCCAGCTGACGGCGGCAGCGGCACGGGAAGATGGGTGACCGTGCTTTGGACAGTCTGACCTCAGCTGTCTGCTGTGGATGTGAGACAATGGGCCGCATGTTATCAGATGTAGGAAACTTGTACAACGCAGTTGTCAGCATTTCTTAGCTTTCGACCAAAGGGAACCCAATCTCCCGCCCTCATCCTGCAGGTCAGAAGTTGCCACATTTCTCAGTTCCCGGCACAGAACTCCTAGACCAAAAACTCCCTAAATGCTGTTCCGGTAACTGGCGCCAGTAGTCAGCATTACTGTCCACGCAACTCAGGAGCTGCTTGGAAAAATAATGTGCACATGTGTG